ATAGTTTAAGGGTTCAGTCCATACTAGATAAGAGAACATACTATGATGAGAAACAAAGAGAACACACTACACTATACAGACAGAGCATACTATACATATACAATAATACTATAACTTAAATGTGAGCCACTACTTCGGGGCACGACATCACTACTATGGCTCGTTTTGTAACTAGAGTCTCCTGAAGGGAGAGCGTGAATTTGTTTATAGATCTATACTGGACTGACCGTCCTACACCTTGTTGCTAGCTACAGTGGGACTTGCAGGTCCATGGGTAATGAATGCCATACCATTACGATGTCTTCGAGCGTCGTGTTTTAACTAAGTTGATTAAGTATGGTTACAACAGATGACATTTTTACCTTAATTAATAATTGATTGAAGGTAGTTAGTACAACAATAGTTACTATATACAACACTACAGTACTTATATTTTCCCATTACTTTCACATTGTGACAGTTCCACTTGAAAGTTAATGCAAACTATTTTCGAGTTAAAATAGTTATAAACTAGGGAAAACTTACATTTTTCAAAAGGTAAGCATAACAGTCGGGTCTAGTACATTCATTAGAAATGGACCATAATGCTAACCTTATGATTCTTTAATGTATACATCAAGGGATATATATACTAATAGGATCCGACAGGTAATACCTTCTGCTTCATTTCCTTTTTCTTGTTTGGTTATGGGCTTAGAGCGGATTCACCCACCCTATTATCCACTCGATCTTAGTTAAATATATGTTCCGTATACATTAAGTCATCATAAGGGGTACCAGGTATGGGTCAGTCATAGGACACTAAATCAATGCACCATCTTCTATTTCAAAACATACTTTTCAAATCATAACTTTTGGTATATAAAACTAGAAACTTACCAGTAAAAGGTTTAATCCATTTTATCAAACCAGTATAACTTAAAGGACCTTAGGTGATCAATTCTATAATACCTTAGTTTATACGTCAGGGCTATATATAATTAATACCCGATAGATAGTTAGAT